AAAATCACCTCGATTTTTCGGTTTTTTAATCAAACCCCTGGGAAATAGTGGTCAGATATTGGAATGGCATACCTAGTTGAATTCGTTACAAAATTTCCAACAAAGTGTCATTTAAAAAAACATGACCCCCACCCTTATGACAAAAACAAAATCCAAAGAAAATCACCTCGATTTTTCAGGGTTTTAATCAAAACCGTGGGAAATAGTGGTCAGATGTGGGAATGGCATACCTAGTTTCCAACAAAATGTCATTTACAGAAAGAAAAATCATTTGAAAAATTTTTCCGAAAAAAAAACAGAACCCCCCCCCCCTCCTATGACAAGGCACAAATCCAAAGAAAATCACCTCGATTTTTCATGTTTTAATCAAAACCCTGGGAAATAGTGGTCGGATGTTGGAATGGCATATATAGTTGAATTCGTTACGAAATTTCCAACAAAGTGTCATTTACGAAAAAAAAATCATCTTAAAAATTTTTTCGAAAAAAAACATTACCCTCACCCCAATGACAAGGCTCAAATCCGAAGAAAATCACCTCGATTTTTCAGGTTTTTAATCAAAACCCTGGGAAATAGTGGTCAGATGTTGGAATGGCATACCTAGTTGAATTCGTTACAAAATTTCCAACAAAGTGTCATTTACAGAAAAAAAAATCATTAGAAAAATGTTTTCGATAAAAAAAACATGAGCCCCACCCCTATGACAAGGCTCAAATCCAAACAAAATCACCTCGATCTTTCGGTTTTTTAATCAAACTCCTGGGAAATAGTGGTCAGATATTGGAATGGCATACCTAGTTGAATTCGTTACAAAATTTCCAACAAAGTGTCATTTACAGAAAAAAAATCATTTTAAACATTTTTTCGAAAAAAAACATGACCCCCACCCTTATGACAAAACCAAAATCCAAAGAAAATCAACTCGATTTTTCGGTTTTTTAATCAAACCCCTCGGAAATTGTGGTCGAATATTTGAATGTCATACCTCGTTGAATTCGTTACCAAATTTCCAACAAAATGGCATTTCCAGAAAAAAATATCATTTGAAAAATTTTTTCGAAAACAAATTATGAACCCCACCCTTACGACAACGCCAAAATCCGAAGAAAATCACCTCGATTTTTCGGTTTTTTAATCAAAACCCTGGGAAATAGTGGTCAGATGTTGGAATGGCATACCTAGTTGAATTCGTTACGAAATTTCCAACAAAGTGTCATTTACGAAAAAAAAATCATTTTAAAAATTTTTTCGAAAAAAAACATTACCCTCACCCCTATGACAAGGCTCAAATCCGAAGAAAATCACCTCGATTTTTCAGGTTTTTAATCAAAACCCTGGGAAATAGTGGTCAGATGTTGGAATGGCATACCTAGTTGAATTCGTTACAAAATTTCCAACAAAGTGTCATTTACAGAAAAAAAATCATTAGAAAAATGTTTTCGATAAAAAAAACATGAGCCCCACCCCTATGACAACGCCAAAATCCGAAGAAAATCACCTCGATTTTTCGGTTTTTTAATCAAACCCCTGGGAAATAGTGGTCAGATGTTGGAATGGCATACCTAGTTGAATTCGTTACAAAATTTCCAACAAAGTGTCATTTACGAAAAAAAAATCATTTGAAAAATTTTTTCGAAAAAAAACATGACCCTCACCCTTATGACAAAACCAAAATCCAAAGAAAATCAACTCGATTTTTCGGTTTTTTAATCAAAACCCTGGGAAATTGTGGTCGAATGTTTGAATGTCATACCTAGTTGAATTCGTTACAAAATTTCCAACAAAATGGCATTTCCAGAAAAAAATATCATTAGAAAAATGTTTTCGATAAAAAAAACATGAGCCCCACCCCTATGACAACGCCAAAATCCGAAGAAAATCACCTCGATTTTTCGGTTTTTTAATCAAAACCCTGGGAAATAGTGGTCAGATGTTGGAATGGCATACCTAGTTGAATTCGTTACAAAATTTCCAACAAAGTGTCATTTACAGAAAAAAAAATCAGTTGAAAAATTTTTTCGAAAAAAACATGACCCCCACCCTTATGACAAAACCAAAATCCAAAGAAAATCAACTCGATTTTTCGGTTTCTTAATCAAACCCCTGGGAAATTGTGGTCGAATGTTTGAATGTCATACCTCGTTGAATTCGTTACCAAATTTCCAACAAAATAGCATTTCCAGAAAAAAATATCATTTGAAAAATTTTTTCGAAAAAAAATTATGAACCCCACCCTTACTACAACGCCAAAATCCAAAAAAAAACCCCACCTCAATTTCTCGGTTTTTTAATCAAAACCCTGGGAAATAGTGGTCAGATGTTGGAATGGCATACCTAGTTAAATTCGTTACAAAATTTCCAACAAAGTGTCATTTACAGAAAAAAAAATCATTTGAAAAATTTTTTCGAAAAAAAAACATGACCATCACCCCATTATGACAAGGCTCAAATCCAGAAGAAAATCACCTCGATTTTTCGGTTTTTTAAACAAAACCCTGGGAAATAGTGGTCGAATGTTGGAATGGCATACGTAGTATGAATTCGTTACAAAATTTCCAACAATGTGTCATTTACAGAAAAAAAAATCATTTGAAAAATTTTTTCCGATAAAATAAACATGACCAACACCCCATTATGACAAGGCTCAAATCCGAAGAAAATCACCTCGATTTTTCAGGTTTTTAATCAAAACCCTGGGAAATAGTGGTCGAATGTTGGAATGGCATAACTAGTTGAATTCGTTACAAAATTTCCAACAAAGTGTCATTTACAGAAAAAAAATCATTTTAAAAATTTTTTCCGAAAAAAAAAAATGACCCCACCCCCCCCTATGACAAGGCTCAAATCCAAAGAAAATCACCTCGATTTTTCAGGGTTTTAATCAAAACCCTGGGAAATAGTGGTCGGATGTTGGAATGTCATACCTCGTTGAATTCGTTACCAAATTTCCAACAAAATGGCATTTCCAGAAAAAAATATCATTTGAAAAATTTTTTCGAAAAAAAATTATGAACCCCACCCTTACGACAACGCCAAAATCCAAAGAAAATCACCTCGATTTCTCGGTTTTTTAATCAAAACCAGTGTTTGCAATTACTACTCCGTAGTAGCGAGATGAATACAAATATTACTATGCTATTGCTATCGCTCTGTTTTTGACGAGAGCGGTAGCAGAGCCATAGCAGAATAACGAGAAAGTTTGTGCTCTGCTCTGCTCGCAGTTTTGTCGCTTGAGAAACTGTAGCAATAGCGGTAGCAGCAAATCAAGTCCTCTGCTCTGTGTAGCAGTAGCGGTAGCAAAAAATTTGTAGCGAGATGAGAGCAGAGCACTTGCTATTTTTTCATGTGCTACGGCTCTCGCTTGTGTTCCTTTTTTTATTTTCTGCACCTTTCTTATGCAGCGTGTTCTTTTTACTTGTCGCTTTGTAGTTTTAAGAAAATATTTTTGGCACTTTTGAGTTTTGATTAACTGCGTAAACATGTCACCGGCAAAGAAAAGTATCAACATTTTAAAATATTACGAGGATATAGATTCCGACTACGTTAAATGCAAAACATGTTTTCGAGTTATAAAAAACGGCCGTGTTTTTAATTTAAAGAAACATTTACAATTGCATGACATCCGACCTGAGCAGCAAGAAAATGATTCTGGTTGCATGCAGACCAAAAAAAACGTGAAACCTCAACTAATTAAAGTTAAAATCAATAAAAAAAATTTAATCCGGTCATATATTGGACTTGTCACTGAAGAAAGCATTCCGTTCCATGTGCTAAACTCAACTAATATGCGTAACATAATTGACCCGATATGTCAAGGTCTTAATGAAAAAAGCGGAAAAAACCTTATTTTGAACGGAAGCAAGTGCAAGTCTGTTCTAAAACAGGTATCAGCGAATGTTAGACTTGAAATACATCAAGAATGTAAAAATCGACTGCTTTCTTTAAAAATAGATAGTGCAACGCGGCTTGATCGAAATATATTCGGCATTAGTGCTCAATTTGTCAGCAAACAAGAAATAAAATCTCGAATTCTTGGAATGGTGGAACTCAAAGGAGCAGGTTCAAGTACATCCCAAAATCTCGCTAGAGAAATTATAGCTGTTTTAGACAAATACGAAATAGCCCTGACCCAAATTGTATCAATTACATCGGATAATGGGGCAAATATGATAAAAACTTCGAAAATTTTATCAGAAATACATATGAGCGATGATGATATTGACGAAGTCTGTATTGAAGAGAACATTGAGTACACGAAGCAAGTCGACCTTTATGAAAAAACAGAAAATATATATGTGGGTGAAATACAAATAGTTCGATGTGCGGCACACACTGGACAGCTTTGTGCACTCGATGTAACAAAAAATGCAAATATAAGAGAGTATTTGTTAACCTGCCGCAATTTTACCAAACACATTCGGAAGCAATCAAACGGATACCGTAATTTTTTTGAACTAAAAAATTATAAATTACCTCAATTGGATTGTCCTACTAGATGGGGATCAACATATAAAATGATTGACCTACTCAATAAAGCGAAAGCTATATTAGGCCCTATCGAAACTGTTGAAAATAAATCCAAAGACGACTATTTCGTTGTAAATGAACAGTTATGGGAGTTCATGGACTCCTACGTTACAATTATGGCTCCACTGCAAAAAACTATAGTGCAGTTTCAACAAGAACAATTGCACTATGGGAATTTTTATGCTCTGTGGCTGGTTTGCAAGTTGTCAACGAAACAGATTTTAGCAACCAGCGCTTTAAGTAAAGAATCTATTCTTTATACGATTGGAGAGACGCTTCTTGAAAGCATGGAAGTAAGAACAAAAAAATTGGTATCAAATGTTGGCTTCGACGCTTGCTTATACCTAGACCCAAGATTTCATCATACCCTGGACGGCTCACAAAAGGACAGATCAATTCATTTTCTTAAGAAATTGTGGGCACAAATTAAAATCCACAGCCCCATTCCAAATTTAGTGTGATCAAATAATTCAATGGCTTCGGATACTGTACATGAAGGAAGTAATTTCGATCTTTTGGACGACTTTTTAAGTGCTAACATTGTTCCGAATGAGTCAACAGATGTCCATGGAAAGATTGAATCGTTGAAATTGCCGTATATGAAATCTAGTGAAAATGTTTTAAATTTCTGGAAAGTAAGGAAATTAAGCGATCCAGAGCTGTATGCCCTAAGCAAAGTATGCTTTGCTATACCACCAACTCAAGTAAGAATTATAATTTAATTTAAAACAAAATATTTATTAACAAGTGTTTAAATTTCTTTATATTTGTAGGTAACAATAGAGCGGGCGTTTTCGTCTTTAAAACTGGTGTTGTCGGATAACCGAAATCGATTAAGTCACGAAACATTGGAAAATATTCTTCTTGTCCGGCTTAACTCAACTCACTTGGATAGTGCCATCGACAATTTAAGTTTATTTGAAGACGAAGAAGATGAGGGGTAATTCGTGTTTCTAAATGCATAAGTTCTTATTTCTTTTTACTTTTTTATATTTAATTAACATTTACTTAATACATTAATTTTAATTCTGGGGCTTTTAATTTTTAAGTTTGATTTAATCTGAATACTGTGAATGAATATACGTTTTTACTTTGATTTTTAGTTTTTGAATAAAATACTATTATTTATTTTATTATTTCAAACCACTTTATTCTGACAGAAAATATTTTCTTTCTCATTCTGGCAAAGCGACAAGTAAAAAGAACACGCTGCATAAGAAAGGTGCAGAAAATAAAAAAAGGAACACAAGCGAGAGCCGTAGCACATGAAAAAATAGCAAGTGCTCTGCTCTCATCTCGCTACAAATTTTTTGCTACCGCTACTGCTACACAGAGCAGAGGACTTGATTTGCTGCTACCGCTATTGCTACAGTTTCTCAAGCGACAAAACTGCGAGCAGAGCAGAGCACAAACTTTCTCGTTATTCTGCTATGGCTCTGCTACCGCTCTCGTCAAAAACAGAGCGATAGCAATAGCCAAACGAAATACTACGAGAGTAGCGTAGCTTTTCAAACGCTGATCAAAACCCTGGGAAATAGTAGTCAGATGTTGGAATGGCAGTTAAATTCGTTACAAAATTTCCAACAAAGTGTCATTTACAGAAAAATAAATCATTTGAAAAATTTTTTCGAAAAAAAACCATGAACCCCACCTAAATGACAAGGCTCAAATCCAGAGAAAATCATCTCGATTTTTCGGTTTTTTAATCAAAACCCTGGGAAATAGTGGTCGAATGTAGGAATGGCATACGTTTATGAATTCGTTACAAAATTACCAACAATGTGTCATTTACAGAAAAAAAAAATAATTTGAAAAATTTTTTCGATAAAAAAAACATGACCCCCACCCCATTATGACAAGGCCCAGATCCGAAGAAAATCACCTCGATTTTTCATGTTTTTAATCAAAACCCTGGGAAATAGTGGTCGAATGTTGAAATGGCATACCTAGTTGAATTCGTTACGAAATTTCGAACAAAGTGTCATTTACAGAAAAAATATCATTTGAAAATGATATGACAAGGCTCAAATCCAAAGAAAATCACCTCGATTTTTCAGGTTGTTAATCAAAACCCCGGGAAATAGTGGTCAGATGTTGGAATGGCATACCTAGTTGAATTCGTTACAAAATTTCCAACAAAGTGTCATTTACAGAAAAAAAATCAGTTGAAAAATTTTTTCGAAAAAAAAACATGACCCCCACCCTTATGACAAAACCAAAATCCAAAGAAAATCAACTCGATTTTTCGGTTTTTTAATCAAACCCCTGGAAAATTGTGGTCGAATGTTTGAATGTCAACCTCGTTGAATTCGTTACCAAATTTCCAACAAAATGGCATTTCCAGAAAAAAATATCATTTGAAAAATTTTTTCGAAAAAAAATTATGAACCCCACCCTTACGACAACGCCAAAATCCAAAGAAAATCACCTCGATTTTTCGGTTTTTTAATCAAACCCCTGGGAAATTGTGGTCGAATGTTTGAATGTCATACCTCGCTGAATTCGTTACCAAATTTCCAACAAAGTGTCATTTACAGAAAAAAAAATCAGTTGAAAAATTTTTTCGAAAAAAAACATGACCCCCACCCTTATGACAAAACCAAAATCTAAAGAAAATCAACTCGATTTTTCGGTTTTTTAATCAAACCCCTGGGAAATTGTGGTCGAATGTTTGAATGTCATACCTCGTTGAATTCGTTACCAAATTTCCAACAAAATGGCATTTCCAGAAAAAAATATCATTTGAAAAATTTTTTCGAAAAAAAATTATGACAACGCCAAAATCCAAAGAAAATCACCTCGGTTTTTCGGTTTTTTAATCAAAACCCTGGGAAATAGTGGTCAGATGTTGGAATGGCATACCTAGTTGAATTCGTTACAAAATTTCCAACAAAGTGTCATTTACAAAAAAAATCAGTGAAAAATTTTTCGAAAAAACAGACCCCCACCCTTATGACAAAACCAAAATCCAAAGAAAATCAACTCGATTTTTCGGTATCTTAATCAAACCCCTGGGAAATTGTGGTCGAATGTTTGAATGTCATACCTCGTTGAACTCGTTACCAAATTTCCAACAAAATGGCATTTCCAGAAAAAAATATACTTTGAAAAATTTTTTCGAAAAAAATTATGAACCCCACCCTTACGACAACGCCAAAATCCAAAGAAAATCACCTCAATTTTTCGGTTTTTTAATCAAAACCCTGGGAAATAGTGGTCAGATGTTGGAATGGCATACCTAGTTAAATTCGTTACAAAATTTCCAACAAAGTGTATTTACAGAAAAAAAAATCATTTAAAAAATTTTTTCGAAAAAAAACCATGAACCCCACCTAAATGACAAGGCTTAAATCCAGAGAAAATCACCTCGATTTTTCGGTTTTTTAATCAAAACCCTGGGAAATAGTTTTCGAATGTAGGAATGGCATACGTGTATGAATTCGTTACAAAATTTCCAACAATGTGTCATTTACAGAAAAAAAAATCATTTTAAAAATTTTTTCCGATAAAAAAAAAATGACCCCCACCTAAATGACAAGGCTCAAATCCAAAGAAAATCACCTCGATTTTTCAGGGTTTTAATCAAAACCGTGGGAAATAGTGGTCAGATGTGGGAATGGCATACCTAGATGAATTCGTTACAAAATTTCCAAGAAAATGTCATTTACAGAAAGAAAAATCATTTGAAAATTTTTTAAGAAAAAAAAACATGACCCCCCCCCTATGACAAGGCACAAATCCAAAGAAAATCATCTCGATTTTTCATGTTTTAATCAAAACCCTGGGAAATAGTGGTCGGATGTTGGAATGTCATACCTCGTTGAATTCGTTACCAAATTTCCAACAAAATGGCATTTCCAGAAAAAAATATCATTTAAAAATTTTTTCGAAAAAAAATTATGAACCCCACCCTTACGACAACGCCAAAATCCAAAGAAAATCACCTCGATTTTTCGGTTTTTTAATCAAAACCCTGGGAAATAATAGTCAGATGTTAGAATGGCAGTTAAATTCGTTACAAAATTTCCAACAAAGTGTCATTTACAGAAAAATAAATCATTTGAAAAATTTTTTCGAAAAAAAGCCATGAACCCCACCTAAATGACAAGGCTCAAATCCAGAGAAAATCATCTCGATTTTTCGGTTTTTTAATCAAAACCCTGGGAAATAGTGGACGAATGTAGGAATGGCATACGTTTATGAATTCGTTACAAAATTACCAACAATCTGTCATTTACAGAAAAAAAAAATAATTTGAAAAATTTTTTCGATAAAAAAAACATGACCCCCACCCCATTATGACAAGGCCCAGATCCGAAGAAAATCACCTCGATTTTTCATGTTTTTAATCAAAACCCTGGGAAATAGTGGTCGAATGTTGGAATGGCATACCTAGTTGAATTCGTTACAAAATTTCGAACAAAGTGTCATTTACAGAAAAAATATCATTTGAAAATGATATGACAAGGCTCAAATCCAAAGAAAATCACCTCGATTTTTCAGGTTGTTAATCAAAACCCCGGGAAATAGTGGTCAGATGTTGGAATGGCATACCTAGTTGAATTCGTTACAAAATTATCAACAAAATGTCATTTACAGAAAGAAAAATCATTTGAAAAATTTTTCCGAAAAAAAAACATGACCCCCCCCCTTATGACAAGGCACAAATCCAAAGAAAATCACCTCGATTTTTTATGTTTTAATCAAAACCCTGGGAAATAGTGGTCGAATGTTGGAATGGCATACGTTTATGAATTCGTTACAAAATTTCCAACAATGTGTCATTTACAGAAAAAAAATCATTTAAAAAATTTTTTCGATAAAAAAACATGACCCCCACCCCATTATGACAAGGCTCAAATCCGAAGAAAATCACCTCGATTTTTCAGGTTTTTAATCAAAACCCTGGGAAATAGTGGTCAGATATTGGAATGGCATACCTAGTTGAATTCGTTACAAAATTTCCAACAAAGTGTCATTTACAGAAAAAAAATCAGTTAAAAATTTTTTCGAAAAAAATAACCCTTATGACAAAACCAAAATCCAAAGAAAATCAACTCGATTTTTCGGTTTTTTAATCAAACCCCTGGGAAATTGTGGTCGAATGTTTGAATGTCATACCTCGTTGAATTCGTTACCAAATTTCCAACAAAATGGCATTTCCAGAAAAAAATATCATTTGAAAAATTGTTTTCGAAAAAAATTATGAACCCCACCCTTACGACAACGCCAAAATCCAAAGAAAATCACCTCGATTTTTCGGTTTTTTAATCAAAACCCTGGGAAATAGTGGTCGGATGTTGGAATGGCATACCTAGTTAAGTTCGTTACAAAATTTCCAACAAAGTGTCATTTACAGAAAAAAAAATCAGTTGAAAAATGTTTTCGAAAAAAAACCATGAACCCCACCTAAATGACAAGGCTCAAATCCAAAGAAAATCACCTCGATTTTTCGGTTTTTTAATCAAAACCTTGGGAAATAGTGGTCGAATGTAGGAATGGCATACGTTTATGAATTCGTTACAAAATTTCCAACAATGTGTCATTTACAGAAAAAAAAATCATTTGAAAAATTTTTTCGATAAAAAAAACATGACCCCCACCCCATTATGACAAGGCCCAGATCCGAAGAAAATCACCTCGATTTTTCATGTTTTTAATCAAAACCCTGGGAAATAGTGGTCGAGTGTTGGAATGGCATACCTAGTTGAATTCGTTACAAAATTTCCAACAAAATGTCATTTACAGAAAGAAAAATCATTTGAAAAATTTTTCCGAAAAAAAAATGACCCCCACCCTTATGACAAGGCACAAATCCAAAGAAAATAACCTCGATTTTTTATGTTTTAATCAAAACCCTGGGAAATAATGGTCGGATTTTGGAATGGCATACCTAGTTGAATTCGTTACGAAATTTCCAACAAAGTGTCATTTACGAAAAAAAAATTATTTTAAAAATTTTTTCGAAAAAAAACTTGACCCTCACACCTATGACAAGGCTCAAATCCG